AATGTTGTCTTGGCGCAGTCCGATGGTTCGACCCGAATCTGATGGTAACCCCCCCGTAAGTCTATTTTCGAAAATACCCGTGCTGTTCGCAGCTGGTCGATCAGTTCGTCGGCGCGGGGGATGGGGTACCGCGATTTGACTGTTACCCTGTTGAGCGCTCGGTAATCAATGCACATGCGAAAGCCTCCGTCTTTTTTCAGTGTGAACAGTATCGGTGCGGCGAACGGTGACGAGCTCGGTCGGATAAACTGCTTCTCTAACAGATAATCTAACTGCTTCCTTAGTTCGTCGAGCTCGGGCTGTGTCCGTCTGAACTGGCGCTGTACAGTTGGCTGTGCCCCCGGTTCTAACTCGATCCTATGGTCATGTGCCCGCTGAGGTGGCAGTCCTTGCGGTAAGTCGTCGGGAAAAATCCCCGAGTACCGTTTCAACAGTTCCTGAAGTTCGGGCGGTACTGCTGCCAACAGTTTCTGAAAATCGCTAGGCTGTTCCTCTTCTCCTACTAATGCTATATCTACTGCGTACACGTCAGCTCCCGTGGCGACAACCCGTTTCATCGTGACGGCGTTGACGTGGACCGTTGAAGACTCGGGCGACTGCCAGCGAGGTAATTCGACCCAGTTACCATTACTTCGCACGGTGCAGCTACCCGTCGTCCAGTCGATTCGCGGGTTATATCGTCGCAGCCAATCACGTCCCAATAAAATGTCGTGCCCATCCAGTGTCGTCGCGAACACTTCCTGTGTAAATCCGAAGTTCCCCCCGCAGCGGACTTTTACTCGCTCCACCTTTTCCCGTATGGCGAGTGGCGTGCCGTCGACTAAGCGTGCGTCTATTTCCGGTAAGCGACGGTTAAGTGGTAACTGCAGTTTCCTTGCGGTCGCGGTATTAACTAAACTGTGGCTTGCTCCTCCGTCAATAAAAATCTTGACTGCTGCTCCCTGTAGATCAGTACTGGGCAATCCGTCGCTGTACCCTCCTTATTCATCCGAGCCCGATCGATGGCGTGAATCGGTACTGTGACTCGGTGAGGGTCGGTGTGGTTGGGCGAGCAGGCAGTCTCGTCAGTAGTTGGCCCAACTTCTACTGACTGCTGGCGTTTCCCTGCCTCTGAGACTCCCTCCCCTGCTCTGCTCCGCGGCGCCTCAGCTCATCTGGGCATTCGCTCTTGCGGTGGCCCGGCCTGTTGCAAGCAAAGCAGCGCCCCTTAAACGGTGCGGCAGCTGCATTCGTTGCAACGGCGTGTACAGTGGCGTGCTCGGTCGGTCCCCGAGGACGATGTCCGTAGTAGGACCCCGGTCTCGGTCGGCGTAGGATATCGATTTTCTCGGCGAGCGCCAGAATCTCGTTGAAGTTAGAGAGTCCGCGCAGCATTATTTCGTGCGAGATATCCGGCTTCAGCCCTCCGACGTAACGATCCACTCGCTCCTCTTCGTGCATATAGCCGACCTGCTCGCAAAGTGCGAGAAAACCGCTTGTGTAGTCTTGAACCGACCCGAGCTGGCGCCAAGTGCGCAATCTCTGACGCGCCGAAATCGAAGCCGCGATCGGCTCGAAACGCGCCCGAAGCCCTGCGCACCACGCATCCCACGTGCTGTATTGGGCGGTCTCGCAGAACGAACTCCAGGTGACAGCTGGACCCGTGGGCCCTTCCTCGTGCGACGGTGGCTCGTAGGCGCGTGGCGACGTCACGATGACTCGCCACCAGTCCATGGCGGGGCCCCTTAGCAGCGAAACTGCATACCGAATCTTCGCGGCATCCGACTCGACGTAGTTTGCGTCGAAGAAGACGTTCATCGTGAAGACCCACGATTGAACCGTCGGACCTCCGCGTTGGCTTGGGTCGAAGCAGGGCGGGCGTTGCGGCTTGAGCGGCATTGGTGCCATGATGGCCTGTTCGCCACTTGTCGTCGCAAATTCCACGTGCCGACGGGCTTCCCGGGGCTCCCGCGGGCTTGGTGCGATCCTGCCTCCTCCCTTGCCAGGCATCGGCTGGGCGACGCCGTCACTGGCTGCGCCTGAGCGTTGTCCCATGCTGTCGTGTTGTGTTGGTGTGCCGGACGAGATAATGATCGGCTCGTCCGATTGTGCAGATGCATTTGTTGGTGCGTGTGATGTCGCCGGAATGTTCACCGTGGACTGTTGACGGGCGGAGTCACGTTCCGCCATGAGCTTCGCGATTTCGAGCGCCGATTCTTCCAGCTGACGCACGAGACGATCAAGCTGCTCCTGCGTCAATGTGGCGAGCGTGAAATCAGCCATGGCGGGGGTGTCGGGCAAGCTCAGCGAGAGCCTCGGTCGTGGCCGTGCGTGCTTACGAGAGAGCACTACGAGCGGCGGTGCTGTGTCGCTGAGAAACGTCTACCCCCCCAAAAAAAATTGAGATAGTGGGGAAGCGAAGGTGTGGATGCGGTCCGAGATGAGATCGTAGGCTCTGATACCAAGTGTTACGAGTGCAATTGAGTGAACGAACAAGAATTGCACTATCGAAGCAAGAATACAATGAGCGAAGGCATGAGCGAAGAATATATAGCGAAACTACAGTGGTAACGGTAATGGGCTGTGGTTGTCGCGCGACGAGCCTGGGACTGAGGTTGGGAAAATGTCGGAGCGTAGGCCCGGAGCGCGGGTTACCCGCCGAGCCGTGAGATCGGGATGCGATGTGCGAAAATGGCGGGATGATTGTCGATGCGATGATCGCGAGTGGTAACGGTGCTGACTGAGGTGCTACAGTGATGTACGCGTTGAGCAGGGATGCGAAGTAAGGAAAAAGGATTTTCCTTATATCCACCCTTTTTCCAGCTTTGATGCTGATGTTGCCGAATCAAGGGATCTATAAGAGCGTATTCCTATCCTCGTATCAAGAAAAAGTCATATCAAGATTTTACTTTTTGCCTGGTAAAAGTAGCGAGAGGTATTGGGTTTAGGGGAATTTTTACTGGGATGTTGATATGAGGTTTTCTTGATACGAGGATAGGAATACGCTCTCAGTGTGACTATAGGATCATTTCGATTGCCCTTGTGCCTGTAGTCCTTGATGTTCGCGAATCGCTTCAACGACACAGAAAACTCTTTGCCAAATCCCTAACCTCAAAATCCTTCTCCACACAGCCCCCTAAAATCCCCTCTTGGAGAGCAGGTTTCAAGGAGCCTAAAAATTCCGCCCCTAGGAGCAGAGAGAGGTATGCGCAGTGTGTCGAACAGGAGCTATATAGGAAGGTAAAGGTTGAAGCAGAGGAGGGAGGACAGCGATTAGAATTGAACGGGAGACCATAAGGTAGGTAAAATTTCAGCGAGAACGGAGGAGAGAAGTCAAGATGGAGCGAGAGAAGATGATAGAAATCAAGCGTGACCCAGAGGAGAGGCGGGCGGAGATTGACTTAAAAGTTGAACCCGAAAATTTCGAGAAGTCTAAAAAAACTTTTGCAGTGGAGATTAAAGTTGAACCCGAGCTCATAAGACTGGGTGGCGACAGAGAAGCATCGCTCCTCCATCCGAACCACCCCGCGCCTCGCGCTGTATCTTCTGCCGAACCTACCGGTTTGGGAAACGCCGAGCCTCGCATCGTGAGGTGTGCCGAGCCTAGAGGTTTGGAGAACGCCGAGCCTCGAGAGCAGCTGCGGGAGGTTCATTCCGTGGGGTTGCTGCTTGCACCCGCGGTCGGTATTCCCAAGGGCCGGGTTAGACCCAAGCAGGAGCCTGCAGAGGAGGTGGGAAGCCATGGGCATAGGGATGAGGATGGGGATAGGCATAGAGATGGGCGTGGGGATGGGTCTGTTTTTAAGGCGCCTCGAAAGCTGGTCGGTATTCCCAAGGGCCTGGTTAGACCCAAGCAGGAGCCTGCAGAGGAGGTGGGAAGCCATGGGAATGGGGATGAGGATGGGGATAGGCATAGAGATAGAGATAGGCATGCAATTGTGTCTTTCTCCAAGGAAAGAGAGGGAGTGGTGGTGAAGAAAGAGGAGGGAGAGGAGGGGGAGATCAAAGAGGGGGAGGAAGAGGGGGAGGAAGAGGGGGAGGAAGAGGGGGAGGAAGGGGAGATTGAAGAGGCGGAGGTAGAGGAGATTAATGAGGGGGGAGAAGGGGAGATCAAAGAGGGGGAGGAAGAGGAGGAGGGTCGTATGGAGGGAAAACGGCATGTGGAGGCAAGCGTGCATGTGAAAAGGGAGGAGGGGGAGGAGGAAGATGAGGAGGAAGGAGAGGAGGTGGTGGTAGTGGACGAGTGGTACGAGGAGGTTGAGATGGGTGGGGAGGGGCAGAAAGAAGAGGAGGAGGGATGTGTGGAGGGAAAACGGCATGTGGAGGCAAGCGTGCATGTGAATAGGGAGGATGGGGGAATGGAGGAGGAAGGAGAGGAGGAGGGAAATGGTGAGGAGGAAGATGAGGAGGTGGTGGTAGTGGACGAGTGGTATGAGGAGGTTGAGATGGGTGGGGAGGAGCAGAAGGAGGAAGAGGAGGAGGACTTGGAAGGAGAGAGGGAGGCGATGGGAAGGGGAGCAGTAAGAAAGGAGGCGGACGAGGGAGGAGAGGAGGAAGGCAAAGAGGAGGCGATAAGAGATGAGATGGGGAGAGGGGGTGGAAAAGGAGGGCAGAGTGGTCAGCTGGTGGTGCGTGTAAAGAAAGAGGAAGAGGAGGAGGAGAAGGAAGGAGTGGGGAGAGCGTTGGCACTGGTGGTGGTGCATGAAGCAAAGGAGGACAGGAAGGGGGAGGAAGAGGAGGAAGGGGGGGAAGAGGGGGAGTGGAGGGATGTAAATACGGAAAGACAAGTGCTAGTTGTGCTAGGTGGAGAGACAGGGGTGCTTGAGGTGATACCAGGGGACACAGGAGGGGGAGCAGGATGGGAGGAAGCAGCAGCAGAAGAAGTGGCAGCAGCAGAAGCAGCGGCAGCAGCAGCGGCAGCAGCAGCGTTTGCATCAGCTTATTCCAACTTGCAGCGATGCTCCCAGTTCACACCTCCCCCACCCGCAAACACTTTTAAGGCTTCAGAGGCCTTGAGTGGGATGCAGCATGCAGCAGTGAATCTCAATCCATTTTCCATCCCTCCTGTGAAACTCACTCCGCCCTCCAACGCTGCGGCGATTATTGAGTCGGTTAAAAAAACATTGAAACCCACACCATCCTCCACCCCTACAGCAAAGTCCTCCCGCTCATCCGGGTACTTTGGAGTGGTTCGGGTGGGTTCCAAGTGGTCCGTGAACCTCTTCCTTAGCCAGGCTCAGCAGACCAAGTATGGTATCAGAGCATCAGCTCTCAACTGCGGGTCCTGGGAGGAAGGGGAGCTTCTAGAAGCCGCCGCAGCAGCAGAGGCGGCTTATCTGGTGCTGAAAGGGGAGAGGGGGATCGAGTTTAAGGTACTGAGGGAAGGGGAGAAGGAGATGCTAAGGCGGATGGGGTGGGAGGAGGCTGTGGGGATGATAAAGAGGAAGATGTGGCGGTGGTGGCGGGAGTGGGGTGGGAAGGTGACGGAAAAGGGGAAAGGTGAGAGGAGGAAGGGGGAAGGGAATGGGAATGAAGAGGGTGGGGAGGAGGAGTTGGGGGAGAAAGGGGAGGGGGAAAAGAGGAGGGAGGAGGGGGAAAAGAGGGGGGAAAAGCTGCAAGAGATGAACTATCAGCATGAGAGGCATGCTCTGGAGGAGACGCCTGTGCAGGAGACCGTTTCAGTCACTTGTGAGAATTCTCAAAAGGAGATGCCAAGGGAGTTGTCTAGAGGTGTTTACCACGACAAGACCCCGGTCGTTACGAAGAAAAAGCAGGCGAATCCGTCTGGTTACATCGGCGTTACGAAGAACTACAGTGCGTGGGCCGTGCGCGTCCCATTAAACACAGAAAGGAGCGCCTTATATGGGGCAGGGAAGAAATTTTACTGCGGGCAGTGGGATGAATTAGAAGCAGCGGGAGCAGCAGCGGAAGCCGCTTATTTCGTGCTTATAGGGGAGAAAGAGATTCAAGAGCGGGGGATTAAGCTGCGGCTTTTAACTGAGAGGCAGAAGGAGACGCTTAGGCAGATGGATCCGTTCGAAGCAGTGAAGATGATAAAAGAGAAGAAGTGGAAGGAGTGGATGAAGTGGGTTCCTGAGGGAGTGACGGGTGCTGCTGCAGGTTGCTCGGATAGAGGAGATATGCAACCTGCCGATGGCTTGGATAATACGAGTAGTAGGATTGTGGGCGGTGAGACGATTTTTGTGGCGCAAAAGAAATCGTTTCAACCAGCCGATGGCTTGCTTAATACGAGTAGTAGGATTGTGGGTGGCAGTGCAGTGATGTTTGAGTTGGCTGAAAAGGCACCTCGGCTTGTGGGTGGTGGCAGCGATGTAGTGCTGCAGAGGCAAAGGTGTGGGCAGTTGACCTCCCCGTTGCAGCAGCTGCCGTGTTTTGAGTCGACTCAAAACACCGAAAAGGCACCTCGGCTTGTGGGTGGTGGCAGCGATGCGGCGCTGCAGAGGCAAAGGTGCGGGCAGTTGACCTCCCCGTTGCAGCAGCTGGCGGCGCAGGGGCACAAGCAGGAGAGGCAGCAGCAACTAGGGGATCCGCACCCGCACCAACTCCTGCTGACGCTTCCTGACGATTCCCCGCAGCAGCAGCAGCAGCAGCAGCGAGGGCAACTATTGCAAGAGCCACTCTCCTTGCCTTGCTCTTCTCTGCCCAAGAATGCCAAGGGAGGAACGAAAGACCTTCTGACAGGTCACTACACAATCAAGAAGGTCAGCAAGGGCGGCAGTACTGAAGGGTCTAGTATAAGTATCATAAGCAGCAATGGCACTGGTAGTGGTGGCACGAGCGACGGTGCAAGCAGTGGTGCTGGTAGTGCTGAGAGCAAGTGGCAGGCGGTGTTAAATTTCAGTGCGCACAAGAGCATGCGTTTTCGCGTCCCGGAGCGGTTTGTTTGCGGGGAATGGGACAGCTTCCGTGAGGCGGCAGCAGCAGCGGAGGCGGCGTGTCTGGCGATCAAAGGAGAGAAGAAGATAGCGTTTCAGGTGTTGGGTGAAAGGGAGAGGGAGGGGTTGAGAGGCTTGGGGAGGAGTGGTGCGGTGTGGATGATACGGGAGGGGGAGTGGGGGAGGTGGAGGGAGTGGAGGCTGGTGTTAGAGGAATTGATGGGGGGAAATGGGAGAAAGAGGGAGAGGGAACAGGAGGAGAGGGGGACGGAGATTGGGAGAGGGAAGAGGAGGCATGCTGTAAGTGGAAATGATGGGGGGAAATGGGAGAAAGAGGGAGAGGGAACAGGAGGAGAGGGGGACGGAGATTGGGAGAGGGAAGAGGAGGCATGCTGTAAGTGGTGTTGGAAACAATAAGTCCTAAGTGCGCTTCTGTCGTATCAAAATCCAAGGTACCAAGCGAAGCAGTCCCAATCGAAGCATCGAGTCAACCTCGGAGGTTAGGGTAACCGCCTGGAGGTTACGAGAAAGTCAAAGGTCGCTGACCTTTGACTCGACAATTACAGCGCGACAGTTAAGGACACACAACTGACTCGTTACAAGAGCAGTTGCCCGAGTCGCGCTATATCGAACCGCAACAGCAATACAGTTATCTATCTATTCCCTGTACTCTTATATAAATCCTTGTATTTGCTTGTTTAATTTAATCAACTTTGCTCTCACACACCAGTGCAAGGTCGGTTCAAATTCTTCACTAAACGCTTCCGCTATTACAACTACTTCACCTAGAGTTATCCCTTGCAAAGATCCTAAGGGGCTATCTCAGCCCAACATGGTATGAGAGCAGACAAGGGAAACTCTACTCTTTTTTCAATATCATTACAAGACATGGCAACAAACAAGGAAAGGAGCTCCCCTAATGGCTCCTCGGGCACTACTCCTACTCCACCGTCAGCCTCTGGCCTGCAGACAGAAGAAGGCACGGCAACAAGACCAAGAGGAACGTCAACCGAGACCCCCATGAACCACCCTTCGGACTTTGACCAGAACATGATGGAGAAATTTTTCTCCTTCATGTCCTTCTACGAACAACACCAGCAGTCGGGACCTGCACAAACACACAACAGCAACAACGGAGCGACACCCATGAGTCTTGATGGGTCGTCATATGCGCGAGGAAACCAGCAGCAGCAACCTACCTTTGCTCCGTACGAGCGCGGGTCAATCAGCTTCGTGCCCCACCCGCAACCTTCACCTGGACAAGAAAGACCACTGGACGCACTTCAAGTTCAGTCGCAGTTTGCACACGTCTTAAAACTGCAAACGTCAAGACCCTTCGACGGCAAAGACTTCTTTACCTGGTCCTTTGAATTCGAGCTGATGATGGAGGGCGCGCAGATACTCGGCTTCTTCGACGGGTCCCTGCAGTATCCAGCCAACGGGACACAATATGAAAAGCAGCAGTATACGTATCAATCAATGATGGCGTATACAATCCTATTGAGGAATGTGACACCAACTCAGCAGCAGAACATTCGCTCTTACCGGACCTTCGGCAACTCGGCGGAGCTCGCGTACAGCCATCTGAAGAACCTGTATCAAGCAACAGACAGTGTAAACCAGAGCAGGTTAATGGCGCAGTTGACGACAGTCGAAATGAAACCAGGAGAAAAAGGACTGGCGTATATCAGCCGATGTCGCGAACTGCGCGACAAGCTGCTTCGATGCGGAGGGTCAATCTCTGAAGACGCCTTCGTGACAGTCATCATTGGTGGGCTTGGTCCTCAGTGGCGCGCCACCAAAGCCATTCTTCGAGCCCACGGAAGAATCTCTGAAGCTGCACTCTGCGCCGAAATACATGCCGAGCAGCAAGATATGGACCTGCAGGAAGAACGACACAGGAAGAAAACGACAGTATCAGAGTTCGCATTCCACACTCAACGACGACACAGCAATTATAACAACCGACAGCAGCAACCGAAGATAGTACCTCCCTTCTGCCACATCTGCAAGACTTCAGGGCACCCGCGCACACACTGCCCGAATCGTCAGCAATCAACGGCACCACAGCGACAACTTCGACCTTCAAGCTCCCAAATGGCTTCAACACAAGCAAGTGCGACGACCACTATTCAAGCTTCAACGACTTCACCCGGACAACCTGCACAAGGAGCAAGAAATATAATCAACTGCATGACGAAGATAACCGATTCATGTACAACCGAATCACCACCACACTACTCACCGGAAGAAGAGCTTGACAACAGAACGCCTCGCCGTGAGCTACTCCAGCCGAATCCAACGTACGCCGCCATCGCTCAAAGTGAACCGTCCGGCCAAGACACCTGGTTCTTGGACAGTTGCTGCGGGCAACACATGTGCTCGTCCGGGCGTTTCGTACAACGCGAACATCGACTCCAACGGGAAGTGATCATCACGGTTGCCAACAACCAAAACCTGCGCACACGAAGACAAGGAGTGGTACAGCTTCAGTCAAGAGAAACAAATGTCATACTGCACATGTCTAAGGTACTCATCGCTGAAGGACTCGGCTACAACTTACTGAGCGTTAGCCAGTTGATGGCGAAAGGAATTCATCTGGAAGCCGACAGCACGACCCAGGAGTTCAAACTTTACCACGGGAGAGGCGGTCTCTACATCGGGAAAGCAGTGCTGAAGAACAACGTCTTCGTCCTCGACTTCGTTCCTGACCTGGGCACTGCAGACAGCGACGCCATCGTGAATTTCACTGACTGGACACACCCTCCGGATCTCGACCCCGACTTCAGCCCAGGAGGCTTCTGGTACTCGCACACCATTCCTGAAGCAGAACGAACACGAGCATTAGCAACAATTCGACAATCGGCAGCAGTAACAACATCGGCAGCAGCAACAACATCAGCAGCAGTAACAACATCGGCAGCAGCAACAACATCAGCAGCAGTAACAACATCGGCAGCAGCAACAACATCAGCAGCAGCAGGAACAACGACACCAGTCACAGTCGACGAAGCACCACCAACACCCGCGAAACAGCTGAATCCGACTCAACGTGAAGTCCACCGAAGCGCCAACCTCGTCGCCAGCTTTTACTCCAACTCCGACGCATATCAGCGTTCACCTGGACACCGTGCCTCTGAAGAGATCTGGCACGCACGAACAGGACATCCAAGCAACACGGTTTTGAATAACACGATAAGAGCAGGAGTCCTTGACAAAGATTCTCTACTTCTACCCGATGGCAGAGAACTCCAGAAGGCACGAGGGACTTGCCTTATATGTCCCGAAGCTGACTTACCTCATCGACCGTTTGCTTCACATCACAACCCGAGCGCTCCAGCGTACGCACCACTCGAAAAAGTCTACAGCGACATCCTCTACAATCGCGAGCCAGGACAAGTCAACTACAACTACACCATCACCTTCATCGACGCCGCCACTCGATACGTCTGGCATCGCAACCTACCCAGCCGCGACATGGCGCTCGCAGCATTCGCCGCCTGGCTACCGATAGCAGAGAGAGAGTCTGGAACACAACTGAAAAAATTCCAGTCAGACGGAGGTGGCGAGTACACCTCTCACCGCTTCAAGCAGTTCTTGGCGGAAAGGGGGATCAAGCAACTCCTCTCCCTTCCTTACGCACATCAGCAGCAAGGTGTTGCAGAACGACTGAACAGGACCCTGCAGAACAGCATGCGCAAACTATTACGTGGCATGCGGCTACCCAACCACCAGTGGCCAGCAGCAATGGACCACGCTGTCATGCTACACAACTTGTTGTCGTCGTCGTCACTCCCGAACAACGCATCACCGCATCTGCTGTGGACAGGGAAGCAGGGCAGCACGAAAATGTTACGAGTTTTCGGGTGCATGGTACAGTACAGACCCCCAGAAGCACGAGCGGGAAGATTTTCGCAACGGGCACAGTGGGGACTACACCTCGGCATCGAGAAAAATTACAACGCATGGAAAATCTTCGACGTCCACACAAAGGAAACAGTAGCAGCACGTGACGTGATCTTCTACGAAAGACTCACCCTTCAGACGTACCTCGCCAACTTGCACGAGAATCGGGACCTCACCAGTGGTTTTCGTGGTGACCGAGCCTTCGCGTCAGCAGCGGACGAAGCAGACTGGGATGAACAGAACGTCGACAACGCCTCAGAAGAAGCCGGACCTCTCCCATACTGCTCCGTCGACGTGCCCATGGATGAGGATAATCCTCGCGACAGTAACAACGCCGAAATCTTCTACCGTTTCGCCGACGATGGTTACGTAACACCTGTGACAGTCAACACCAACGAAGCAGAAAGGGTAGGGCCAAATTTCATGCCCGACCCAGAAACGGGAGACGAAGCAGCTTATCCCGAGGATCCAGAACTCCCTCGATACTCACAGACTGGGCTGCAAATCCTCGGCCTCGTCACCGCAGTCCACGGGAACACACGCAGCTCGCTTCCTAAGGAGCCTGCAACGGTTCAGCAGGCTCTGGGGGGGGAACACAGGGAGAAATGGCGTGAAGCCATGGATAGAGAACTGAAGGCATTAGAGGAACGCAACACTTGGAAGGTTGTTCCCGTAAGCGTGGCACGGAACAAAACCATCCTTACCGGGAAATGGGTCTTCCGCATCAAGACGAAAGCAGACGGCACGATCGAAAAATTTAAAGCACGCTGGGTCGTACGTGGATTCGACCAAGAGCAAGGACGAGACTTCACCGAGACCTTTGCTCCAGTCAGCCGCCACACGTCACTCCGAATTCTCCTCGCCATTGCCGCCATGAAGAAGAAGAAGTTACGGCAGATCGACGTCGCGAATGCCTTCCTCTACGCACCTGTGGATGCAGAAATCTACGTCGAGCTCCCGCACGGTTCCCACGGCGAACCCAACCGAATCTGTCAACTACTTAAGTCGCTCTACGGGATCAAGCAGGCACCGCGACTGTGGCAGCAGTACCTGCACGCCCGTCTCATCCGCATCGGCTTTAGTCAACTACCTCACGACCAAGGCATGTACCGCCTCACTAAGGGAAGCGACTACGTTCTCCTGATCGTCTACGTGGACGATCTCCTCTACATTGGGTCAACCGACGGCATCGCCACGTGGTTCGAAGGAGAGCTCCAGAAAGACCTCACGCTCACGGTCTCCTCCACCGTTACACAGTACCTCGGGCTCAACATCCGCGAAGAAGAAAACGCCATCTATCTAAGCGCCGAGAAATACGCCGACACCATCGCGAAACGCTTCAGCCTCACACCAAGCGCCATCTCCACGCCCTACCGCTACACATCAGGAACCGAGAAGGAACGAACTACTCTACTCAAGCCCGCCGGCATACGCGACTATCAGAAGAAGCTCGGATGCCTGCTATTCACCGCCGTCACCTGCCGTCCTGACTTATCCTACTCCGCAAGTCA